TTCTGATCTTGGACCTTGGGAAGACTGTATTATGGGCGCGGTTTCGGAATGTAAATTCTGCAAGTCGTTCAAGAGAGGATGGACGGAAGGGGGCAGGGCCTTTGGGTGATCTTTGGCCTCGCCATTGCGCCGTTTGTAAACAAAGTTTTTCAGGTGGCGCTTCGTTCCCGACTCGAGATCTAGGATGTATGAGCACTCTCGTACAAGCACGGAGGTACAAGCACGGAGTCTTGCGAACAGGGGCTGAGAACCCACGTAGATAGTTGACGGGGGCCTCCTCAGCGCCGCGCTTGCGCTTGATGTGGATGGTCTGCGGAGGGGCGGACATGACCCTGACAATAGAGACCGTCTGTTCGATCCGGCGAAGGGGTGCTAGGAAGAGATGTGAGGACACATGAGTATATGGTGCCTTTTGCGCAGTTGGGTTGTGATTGGGTGATGTCACTTGGAAGAGCGAGTTTGTCGGTCAAGGAGCGATGGTCGTGGGCCACTTTTGGGCGGGCCATACTGATGGAGGGAGCGATAAGCAATTCTTTATGCTTATCATTCGGTGACGCCATTGGTGGCCATTCAAACGCATGTCCATGTCTAGGTACTTCCTTTACAAGGCAAGGTAGCAATTGTCTCGCGAAGGCGGCTATTCGTTGCCTCGATGCTTCGCAATCGACCTGCATGGCGAGACTTCCAGACGGAGGCTTGCAATAGGCTTGCAGATTTTCGAGCTGACTGCGCCGAGTGAGGTGCAAGATGGTTTGTTGCCTGGTCCAAGCGGCCAGTATAGCGGCTGTACGGTGCGCCGCAGTGGCCTGGCAAGGATACCCACCTGGGGAGCTTGGGGAGGTATCTTAGAGGTGCCCTTTCAGTGGAGCGAGGCTTGCATCGGGCGAGGTCCACCTCCAGGCGGCGATCGTTAGATGGGGATGCTCTACGTATCTAATACTAATTATGACAGCATCGTTGGCAAAGACTCGGTCCACCTATATTTCACATTGTCATCCAACCCCCGCCTTGGTCCTGCTGTACCACCATGCGTACCCCAATTTGAAGCTTTCAGATGCTGCCGACATGGTCTGCGGGCCTTACCATTCGCTCATCATGGCCGCCTGTATTCTGGCCATACGCTGGTGGCTGGCCCGTCACACCGGCCCAACTGCTACGGCAGCAGCTAATGCGGGGATCGGCCCAGGCATGCCCTTCGACAAGTCCCCGATACTTTGGTAACGAAGGGCCTGGCAGCCAATAGGCAGGTTCCCGAGACATGCAGATGAGCTTCCCGCCCACCTGGCCAAAAGCTCCGGGCTTCGTACCTACTAGGTAGCTGCCAGCCAGGCCAGGCTAAACAGAATGGCAGCATTGACCTACACGTACCTACTCTCCACGTTGTATGCCATCGAGGTACTCCGCTGCGCTGAGCCTGAACCTGAGCGTCTGGCGCGCGGATGACATGGTGTGGTATGACGCGCCATGCCCATTCCTTGGAAGATGTCTGGGTTTGGGGCCTGGGGCTTGAAGCACGCCTGCTCGGCTTGAACCGCTGGGGAGGCTTTCTTTTGCCTCGACATTGCCCCCAACGTGAGTATCCCAAGAAATTATGCACTCTTCCGTCTCCAGCATCTCCTCATACAATACCTTTCAGCTGTGAGCTTCAGGTCCTCCTGCAAGAGACTCCAACCAGTAAGTGTCTTACGTATCGCGCGTAGGTAGCAAGAGCTGCACCGCTTGGTCTACCCCTCCTCTCGTTTCCTTCCGGCCGGTCCTCCCTTCCCACTGCTGTTCCTGTCACCACACGCCATCTGATTCACGAAGCTTCATCACGGCAAACAGCCTGTCAATTCTCTTTTGATAACACACGACCCTAGAAGCTACACTTTCATCCTCCTTTGATCTATCATATTCGCTCCCTTGCGGCTGCATCCCTTTTCTGCTTTCCTTTCAATTATACAAAATACACTGGTGCCATCCAGTCGCGTGCACACTTCCTTGCGTAGCATTTTCAGAGACGCCCAAATATCGTCATTTACAATCGTCTCTAGCG